TGTTGTTGTTGTTGTTGTTGTTGTTGTTGTTGTTGTTGTTGTTGTTGTTGTTGTTGTTGTTGTTGCTGTTGCTGTTGTTGCTGCTGTTGTTGCTGTTCTTCGTATTGTTGATAATTCCATGATTGGCTCTGCCAGGATTGAGACGGTTGTTGAGACATTCTTGTAGGTTAACCACTTGACCACCATTCCAATAGTTGTATATGAGCCAATAATTGAGCAGTACTACAATCAGATCACGTTACACGGCATTCTTCTACGGAGAATGAAACGGTGGCAAATAAAACTACTCTTGATGTTGGTAAAGAGAGAACAGACTGTGTCTTAAAGTATATTAATATGCACTTGTAAGGAGTCGCTAATTATAACTGAGGGCTTTTTGGATGTTTTTCCAATATACTATATATACATATGATTATTTCTATTTCACTCAAAAATTAAAAGTATCAACCTTTTTCGTTTGCCAAAGTAATTTTACAATGAAACATTTGTGAAATGTGTTGCTTCCATAGTATTTGTAATGTTTAGATATATTTATTATTATTACACTGCAAGCATCGTACACATCATAGGAAAAAAGCGAAAAGTTGTCACACAACATTTTGTCACAAGATGATGCAAAATAAAACGTTACTGTTACTAAAATTTTGTTCGAGAACAACGAACAGCCGTATATCGAATTTTCACAATGGTTAATTTTCATTGTTTTGAGCGATCGCACTACTGTTCCTTATTCGATTTTTTCTACTCACGATAATTTGCTTAATGGAAGTACGTGTAAACCATGACGTCATCTTGGTTATGTTAATCAGCCAAGTTAAAAACACAATAGTACCGTAATAACAAGCACTATGTTGATTCTTGCGTATACGTAAATTTATTTAAACATACACCCAATGAATGATTAGTCTTTATGTAAATGTCCAGTATATACTACGCCCTTAATATTTATATGCCAGGCTATTTCAAGTTAGCTTTAAACTTAAAATACTGTACGTAAAAGACTCGTATATTATACATATTATTACAGTTAAAAATCTGTTTATAGTTGAAAAATGTAAATTCTCAAGCCCATCATTTAATTGTTTCCCATTTTATTCTTTTATTAATCGCTTTTCCCCCCCACTTTTCGCCGCCCCCTAACCGATTACTCTTTCTATGAACATTTCCTCCCTATAATCCTATGAGTTTTCCAGTACACGTTTTGCTTATTAGCTTCGTAAATTAGTGTTTCTATTAATGCATCATAATGTTCGTTCGTAATGTCCATTTGTGTTAATAAGGTGGATTTCAACGAATTCATTTTTGAAGCAAAATCGAGTAGAGCCTGCACAATGATATAATGGTAGCAAACATTGATTAATAACAAGTTTCAAGCTTCTCCCGTAACAAGCTTTCACTGTCTTGTATTATTTAACAACAATTATCTACTTCTTTTCCCCGGTACTTTTATTACTTACCAGCTCCGCGCGCCGTCCGCTTTTCTTTCCAATCGGTATGTCCACGGACAGCTGGTCAATATCGGTTAAATCGCCCGTATTCGAAAGCAGTTTTTTCAAGTGAGGCCCGATCTCGGAATATATGTTTTTTGAATGTAAATACGTCTTCACTGTAATAAAAAAGATGAACAATGTTAAACACCGCGGGATGCAAACGTGTGTTTGTCGAACGTATCTATTTCTTCTCCTTTCAACTCAACTCCTCAAACTATTGTACTTACTTGCCGAACTCAACGATTTTGTTGCTCGTCCTCCCCCACAAATTACATTATCCATTTCCACAATTTCGATCCACCCATCCTTTTTCGTAACTCTGACCAACTCTTGCATAATTATTTTCCATTCTTCGATCGTGTGATTTGAAGCAATTAATCTCTGATAGACAAAATCAAAGTGGTTATCGGGAAACGGAAGGCCGGAGAAAACATTATGAGTGAGGAGAGAGAGATTTGGTGGCCGAGAAAAAAGTCTGGGAGTTGCTGTATCTAGTCCGATAAAATTTGATTTTGGATATGTCGTTGAAAGTTCAAGAAGCGAGAGGCATGGTCCGCAACTGAATGAGAATAAGAAAATGTTAGCACCTCTGTCAAAACCTATTTGCGTATAATCATCATACAGCAGCCTAGCCTATCGAAACATCCAATTTATCATTGTCATACAATGTTCCGTTTGTTGTGCTGTATGGTGACTGTGCTGTACTGTGCTGTGTTGTGTTGTGCTGTGTTGTTACTTACCCTACATCAAGAACCGTTGCTCCGCTCTTTAACTTTTCTTCAACGGGTGCGATAAAATTTCCTTTCCACGAGCATTTACACAAGTCATGTTGCAAGTGCAACCGTTCCCGTTTGAACTCGTCGTTTGACATTGGGTGAGGTGAGGATATGTTGTTTGGATAGCTAGTCGGATAAAACGAAGAAGGTGAAGGAGCTGTGTCTGATAATGACTTTGTCATTTCGTAATGTATATATATTCTACGAGAGCCAGTGATTTAAATTTACGGATAAATTGCGTGTGTGAGAAAATAAGTGTAACAAAATTAAAGAAACCATTAATCAACTAACGGGCATATCTGATTATTTCTTACGTTTATTGGTAATCTTTTCTATCGCCTAGTACTTTTTGGATTTGGATTCCCTTTTTTTCGTGGTTGCCCAGTCTATTTTTGAATTGGTAGTATTTGTGATGCAAGTAACGATCGGTTAATTATTAGGAATTTTATCACAACCCAGAGGCCTGCAGCTATTTAAATATGATAAGCGTTCAAAATATGAACACAACAATTGAATATGTTAAGTATCGATATATATTATGCATATTCATTGTATTCTATTTACGTTAATTAGTATTAAGCCCTTACTCTTCACATTTGTTCAATAGCTCACGAATTACGAACGATCTGCAAACAACATATGTTTATTATTACCTGTGAACCAAACAGCAGTCAGTCGATGATGCAATAGAACAGGGGGGGAAAGCAAAGAGAGCAAATAACGAAGCATAATGAACCGAGCAGACACATTGTATTTATTTAACCATCCAGAGCATTTGTATCTACAATACATTGACCATTATGGTTATACTTATGTATTGGCTTGCATTCCCCATTCCCCTCATCGTATTTATCACACATGAATGACAGAGATCTTCTGTGTTGTGTCATCTAACAATATTCGGCATATTGTCTGTCGCTGGGAATAATCACTTTGCTAAATATAGAAAATAACCAAGAGGGCGAAATACAAAGTAAATGATGAAATGAAATGGTTTCAAGAAATGGTGCTTGAGGAATAAGAGTACTACCAGAGAAAAGAGGGCAGGAACAGGAAACGTGCATAACGGTTAGTAATATGGTTTTGGTTTTGAACAAGCAAGCGTTCATAGATATATAAAGCCCAATGTACCTTTTGCATTCAATGAAACGGGAATATCCATCCATGTGATCTCTTAATAATTTAATTAATCAAACCCAAACAATACTTTCAAACAAACGTTTTTTGCCACTGTTCTACCTCCGGCCCGTCCCTCCCCCCCTTTTCCTCTCTGTTCTAGCCTAAATTTGTTTTTTCCTTATCGGTTCTCTCGGCTCGTTTGCTCGAGATTTATTTA